CTAGACACATACACAATAATTGTTAATAACCATAATAATCATGAATAATAATAATAAGTATGCATGTAATGTATAGGGATACCAAAGTTTGTCCATATGAAGATACCACACCCTATTGTACAAAATTATACACAATTGACCCCCTATTATAACAAGACACCTACGGTGCATGGCCTCGCCCCTATAGCTGTTATGGTGCATGCCCTCACTGCAATAGCTGTTTAATTATCAGCATTAAAAGAGTCTGCTCAACATTAGCTTCCTGCAGTTGCACTTGCTCTTGAATACCTGCAGAAGTAGCAGCACTGCAGCACATACATGCAGCAGCTCCAGCCCCTCCTATGCATGCAGATTGAAAGGTGTGGTATTACATCATCAACTGCAATGATGGCAGCAAGAAGATCATGTGAGAAAGAAGCTTCACTTTTTCTTTACTAATCAGCAAAATATGATTAACTTGCTAACAGAAAAGTTGCTGCCTTTGTGTATTTGAGATATTATAGGTGCTTTGGTACCTATAACTCAGCAGGTTTTTGCTCTAGCACTTCACAAAAGAGTGACCTCAAAAATTTGGAGTAAGTATAACTCTTCATCAAGTAAGATTTAGAGAACAACTACCTATACCTCGTGTAGGCGAGGCCAACAACTCACGCTATGGTACATTCACTAGCTATGCACAACAAAATAAAACAAGCTTACAGCCTTACATTAATATTGATATTCAATGATATTAGTTGTCCATCAATTACTGGTACCACTGATACAGGAGGAGTAATGAGAGGAACTGAAAGATACGCTGTGAATATATACATGAAGCCATAGTAATGCTAACCTGTTTCATAATAAAAACTGATATTATTAGACGAACCTATTCCAGCATCATTAATAGGAGAAACTGATACATTATTTAATATACAAGGATCAGGATTAGTAGCTGATAATATAATACTCTTGTTAGTAGTAGTAATGTTCACTAATCCATTGACTATATAGTATCCAGTGATAGGTACATTATCCAGTGTATAAGGAGCTGTCCATGTTAATAATACACTGGATCCATTAATAAAGGTATAATCCAGATCAACAACACTATCCAATAGACCTAAAGAAGTGACTAATGATACAATTAAACTGATACATTACTATACCTTGTATTGTTAGTGTAGCATTGTCACTCCTGATATTATCAGGAGCAGCAATACAATGTATAATACTATTATTATTAATTTCTCTTGCATGAACTGATAGCTGTCTTCTTCTTATAGTTCCATTAATAGTGTATTGACCTAATTCAGTAAATCCTCTGTTAGCATTGATATCTTCAGCCGCTGGTGTTTCACCAACATAGAAGAAAATGAAAGAAACTCCAGTTGCTTCACAAGTAAAGGTCACAGTTGAATTGACACTTGTATTCACTGATACTGGCTGAGTTATAATTTCTAGAAATATAAGAAATTAGAGTGAAATTGCCCAGCAGCCCATGGAAAGCCTTATTTTGACTAAGGGTCGGAAGGAGGTGAATTTATAAAAGCAAGCAGTTACTGGTTGTTAGCTTAAAAAACATGCATGCATATAGTCATACAGTACTAAAAGGTTACAAGTGAAAACCCATGTTAGGCCAATGGCCAGTAGAATGCACCCACCATAAAAATTTAAATTCCTACAAAAATAAAATACCCTTGCATTCATGCAGCATTATTAAGTCTCAAATGAAATTTCTTATAAATCCCCTAGGTGCTAATGATTACAACAATGATATTCATCCATAATAAATAATTTTTCATATACAGTATCCTCCATGATGCAAATTACTGATGGCAAGAAGGTCTCAAGATCAAAGGAAGATCAAAGGCAGTGACACCGCCTGGCCATTTTTGTGAGCTACAAGGTACCAAAGGTTCGGAAGTAGCATTTATAGAAACTATGGAGGCCAGACTACATCATATAGACCAGGTAACTCTTGCTGCAGCATAGTTTTCTTGCTGCGCTTCATTTCAGCACCTTTGGCTTTGATCTGCCTTTGATGTAGAAAACTTCTTGTTGTCAGTAATTTATATCATGGGCGGCTACAGTAAATGATTTGAAAATAATTTTAATGCCTAGGACCACTCAGAGTGAGAATTGCTTGCACGGGAAGACAATTACGGTTGTAAGGCGTGGCTTGAGACAAAAGGGCTGACATAAGATTTCTGGAGCAAATTCGACCAAATCTCTTACAGAAGAAGCTTAAAGGCAGCTGTTCTTTTTTTATAACAAGCACTTTTTAGCTTTTGATAGAGCTACAGCAGGTAAATAAGGTATTTTCTTTGTACCTCCATTGACTTCCTTCTCCCCTTCCTTAACAAACTTGCCAACCAAAAATGGCAGGCAATTATGACATGTGAGCAGATACCATATATAAAACAAGTGATAAAAGTGTAAAAATAATCCTATAATTATTTTCACCACCTTGCATGTACAGCTGGGTTTTTATTAAGAAATATAGAGGTTCTTTCTAACTTATAAAGGAGTGTGGGCGGGTGGTTGCTAAGGCTTGAATATGTGTATAGAAGAAATGTAAGTGTGGACATACAAATATATAAATATGCAAACATCGCATGTGGGTGAAATCAATTATAGGACGATGTGGGGGGTACGTTCCCAGGTTGTGATAATGAAATATATAGCTTTTGTATGCAATTCTCACTCTGGGTGGTCTATAGTCCCTCACTGGCTATGGTGAGACCAATGATACAAAAAAATCACATGCAGCAATGCAATGATTTTTTTGAGTGTACATTCTTAGCTACAGCAGGCAGCTAAAGCATAAGTATGCTCATAATCAGTCGGAAAGTCTAATATGGCTAATAAAAGCCAGGGGAGTTGTTAGGGGGTCCATTGGATGCATTAATTGGCACTCCATTGACCAAGATGCACCCACTGAGTCAATAATTTGTCTATAAAATACAGTGGTGGATCTAGGGGGGCCAGGGGGGCAATGCCCCCCCAAAAATTTTTCTGGAGTAATGTAAACTTAGGTTTACCTATATAAACTGTGAAGCAGCTGCAGTACTGGACTATGCAAACAATCTTTAAACCACAAAGGAGCTCATTTTAACAGGCTTAAGGCCCCCCAACATTTGTGGTTACAGTATTTCCTTAAATAAAAGCCCGGGCGTCTATTTCCTAAAATGGTATTTGGACCTCGAAAAAAAAATAGAAAAAACTTTTGGCCCAGAGCGGGATTTTGAACTCGTGGCATCATGTACTTGACTCCTGGAACTTAAGGCAGTATCCACAAGGCTACTAGGTTCATTTTAGTCTGAACTTGCGTATTTATGATTGAATAAGACTTATTCATAATTAATTAGAATAAATTATACGGTCAAGAGGGCAATGTGGTAACTTGCCTGTACTTGCCAATGGAGATAAACATAAAAAGGCTGCTGCTGTTGCTGTGTAAACTAGACACAGACCAATGAATTATAGTTTCATAATAACTGATTTAAATGAGAAGGATTTGTCTATGTCCATAGCAGCTGTTTTAAAATTCTATTTGAAGTGTTATAAGCATTTGAGTAAAAATCCAATTTGAGAGGCAATGCCATGAGAAGTTAAATATTTTTCCAGCCTGATGTGTCACTACACATCTAAAACTGTTATACTGACCTAAAATTTATCTTACTTATCTTAGTTTATACAAGAAAACATGTAATTATACAATTATGGTACTGCATCAAATCAACGGCAGTGCCCTCTTGACCGTATTAATTCCAATATTCGTGAATAAAGGTGGGTTCTCAATATGACGCAT